TATTAATTCATTCAATTAATTTTGTGCCTAAAATCGGTGCCAACTATACCCACACACATAACACATACAAAATCAATTTGCATAAACAACACACACACACATAATTAATTAATGTATTTTATTCTTAAATGCATGGTGCCGTTTACTTTTAACAAACAATAATTATCCCGACAATTTAAAAAATGTAAATAGTATCATTACCACTTATAGACTGTATTAGTGAGTTATATTAACACTAACATTATACTTTTAAAAGTTTTTATAAAATATAATGGTCTGACAGCGCGATGTATTTGCATATGGACAATTGACAAATATTTTATAATTAATTAAATTAATTTTTGATGCCATTTATCAGATCGACGAACAAACACAGGAACTCTTAGGGCCGCACAATAGCCGTAAGGGCTCAACGCATGGCGAGTACCCGGAGATTGTGCTGACGGCCAATAGTAAACACCATAACCATCGCAATAACCACCACAACAACACACATCATAATCATAATCACAGCTACGATGACCACGCGCATAGTCATCACCACCATGGTCACTCGCACGACTATAGTCACGTGCAGGGCGCCGGTAGCGTATCGTTTTTCATACTGATGTTCGCCACGAGTGTGCACTCGGTGTTTGAAGGTATGTATTACTAACCACTAATTGTTCCAATAATTATACCCAACTAGTAAAATAATATTTCTATCATCAAGCTCAAATATGACTTTTAATTAGCATGATAGTTATATAAATTCAAATTTAAACATGTTTGGCTTTCTTAATATAAACTGTAACCTTATGAAGCATTAACATTTAAATTATGTTAGCAACTTTTGTTTATAGTAAATTGGATCACGATCAACGAATTAACACTTAAAAATAAATTTTTACTTTAATTAATCATGTTAATTTATTTTTGCCATATTCAAATAATTACTAATATTTACATTGTCTGTAGGCCTGGCGCTGGGACTCCAGAGGGACCCGACAAAAGCGCTGCACCTATTCATTGGTATAATACTACACGAGTGTTTGGTGGCGCTGGCCCTGGGGCTCAACGCGGCCCGACTCGACCCCGGGCTCAAAACCAATCTACGCTTTTCGGCCGTATTCTCGCTGACAATACCCGTCGGGATTGTGGCGGGAGTGGCGCTGGGGGTCACGCCTGGCCTATTTGGTCGGTCTATATCGGCCCTATTCCAAGGGCTGGCGGCGGGCACTTTCATTCACGTCACTTTCCACGAGTTAATACCCGCCGAGTTTATGGGCAGTCACGGCGAGGGCGGGGCCGGGAGTTTTCGGGAAAAGTTGTTTAAAATTATGCTGTTATTCATCGGTTTCTGTATTATGGCTGTTATGACACTCATTACTAGCGATTCTCATTAGATATGTACAGTACGTTCAACGCTTGTTATAATGAACACATGTGTGGTTAATAGCGAGTGTTGTTTGTGTTTATTTTTAAGGGTTTTGATGTTTACTCTCCCCGATTATACCGTGGTTAATAGAATAAGCTAATTATTTATTAAATTACAAACATTTGTCTCATAATTATATTTATTAAATACACATATTATGTAATTTAAAATTAATTATTTATTTATAATAGCAAAATAAATAGGTATCATTATAAATTTAAATATTTTTATCAACAAATAAAATACTGATTATTCAATGATTTTAAACTTTATTTTAATGTTTAATTATTTTA